AATTCACAGATTTGCATTGATAGGCAGTTGATTTTAATTTTTAAATTACAAAAGTGTTCTCACAGCAAAGCATATGGAGGTTGCTCTGTTCCAAAGTCATACTGGATATCCAGTCACTGAGTAACAAGAAAAATCCTAACCAAATTGCAGGGAAAGCCTAAAAAGTGAGTTAGTCTAACACATTTTTTTTCCTTCTTTCATTATTTCAGAAAATCTGGAGTAAAACCTCAGGAATTAGAGGCCGCCATTTTCTGAAGTTAAAGCCATAATGCTCTGGGAGGAAAAAAAAAAAAAAAGCCAAACAGAACAAGTTTGGATTTTACCAGTAACATTCAACTTTCAGTACAGAAAGAGCCAGGCTCATGCAGAAGGCTGATGACACATATCTACATTAAGAGGCCAAAATTAACCAAGTCTTCAGGTACTTGAAGTACATTTCAGTAAACAAGTATTCATAACCTACTCAAAATCATGGCTAGCAAAAATCAAAAACTGCTCACTTTGAAATAAAGGGTGACAGGTGGCCTTTGGAGAAGAAGTTTTTAGTTACAATGTGTTAACACAGATGCAATGCAATAATAATGAAAAGAAATAAAGGGGAGCAGCTTTTAAAAAAACCCAGAAACAGTCTTCATGCTCTTATGAATACATTATTCATTATGTAAAAATCTCTGTCTCTCTCTCCTCTCTCTCCCTTTTGGAGTGAAAGATGGACTAACAGGACCTTTCCTTCTTTTTAAAGGAATATGATTCAGATTCTGTAAACATTTTAATTAACAATTCTATTTAAATTCTCTTTTCTATTAAAAAAGAGTAGATTAAACCCTTATAAACTATCTAAACAGCTATGGACATCTGGGCACTGGAGGTAATGAGGCAGATACCCAAACTACTACAACTAACACCCATAGAGAAGGTTGTTTAAGGCAATAAGGGAAATAATTAAAACCAAAATTCATTTTGAAGGATAGAAATTATGTAAAAAAAAAAAAAAAAAAGAAAAAGAAAAACACCCAGGTGTTTACAATTTAAGTTGTTGATATTTTTAAATGAAGAAGCACTAGAAACTTTCTTGATTGAATGAATTCAATGGAAATAAGGGTGAAGAAGCACAGGAGTAAGCTGGAAATAAGACTGTGAATGCCTGATGTGTCCATCCAGCATTACAGGAAACTGTACCCTTTCCTTTTGAAAGAAATACCATCTTCAGGAGCAGTAGGTGATTAGCTTCCCAGTTTCCTCCCACAGGTATCTAATCAAAATGAGCTATCACTTACAATTTGGAATCTGCAAAGGATCGAACTAAACACTGGTCCTTTTTCACAGTGACGTCGTCATTGCAGCTTGGCGACACAACCTGAAGATTCAAATAAAACATCCCTTTATCAAAAAAAAAACATAAAAAATAAAAGCTGATCTTGAAAGGAAAGATAGATAGACTGCAGGAAAACTGCTGTTTTCTGTTTCTTTTTTTTTCCAGAATTGGGTAAACAAACCTACTTCAATTTATACTACCAAGGCCAACAACAACAAATTTCAAGAAGCAATTTACCCCAAACTATTGACTTACTGCATACAAGCCAAAAAAGTCTAAAATTTCATTTGAAAACTAATCTACTGAGGACATATCACAAGACCCTGATCATTCACTCTGCTTTTTTTATTCTTGTTCACACAAAATTTTTTAAAAGCATCTATTTAAAAAGTCACAAACCCACTTATTTTATACCAGCTTCCAATTTTTGGCATTTAAACTGAGACTTAAGTTAGTTTCTTTGTTTGTTTATTGAGGTGTGGATAACAAAAACCACTGTGAAATCCAGTACATCCTTCCACAGCAGTATCACCTATAGGTCTAAAGAAAGTGATAAAAATGCATTTGCAGAATTGGTATTTACAACTAACAGTTTTTTTGGTTTTTTTTTCTATATATAAGCAGAAAATGTTAAATAGATATATATGACCCCTAAGGACTTAACCCACCAGTTAAAAACTATGTTAAATAAGAATCTGCCATTCATAAAGGGAGCTACAACCAGAACATGTACAATACCATGTTTTAAATTGAGGTACATACAGGGGGATAAGGCAGTGTCAACTGTTCACTATTCATTACATCATGTCTGAAAATACCAAAAAGTTTTCTACAAAAAAGCAACTTTTAATATGCACATGTAAACTTTTCTGTGTTTATCAATAAGATGCAAACTGTCTGCTTTACAAGTCTACTTGAACTCAGATTTATTTAATGTATATTTATTATCAGCAGTGGCAATGAACAGCTGTATCATTCATTGACAGTCAAATATAAATAAGCACCAACATCTGCTCCTAGAGCAACTGACCACTACATCAGAGCATCAAAGGAATTAGTATTTCATAAAACTGGAAATCTAAGGAAAAAGAAAATTACATTAAAAAAAAATTTAAATCCCACTGCAATTAAAATTCATAAATCTAGATCATCTTAAATTGCCTGGGAGTGCAAGTCCTAACATTTTATTTTTAGAAGAAAAGTATCATTACACACTGATCATTTTGTATGCAGTTCTAAAACACTTTAACACCATGAAACTGTAACTTACACATAAATGTTAATCTCTGCTTTCCTACTCTTCATAGATACTGCAAACACTTGTATTTTTAGCAAACATGGGAGTAGAGCTTAGCCTGACTACATTCACAGCTTTGCTGCAAAAGGAACTCACCAAAGCTGGGTACCAGTCTGCCTTCTCTGCATTACAAGTCACACTCACAACCTTGCCAAGCAATTCATCGTTGAGGCGCCTCTTATCTTCATCCTCTTCTTCACTACTTTCTTCTTCCTTTTCATCTTCAGTACTGAATTATCAAAATGTATAATATTTTAAAGTTTGTCTGAAGTTACTACTTGAAAACCAAAGAGAGTTCACAAGATTTTTCTTTCTATTTTACAAAGCTTCAAAAACAGTTATAACTTTAAGAGCTAAAATTGCCTGAAATACACTTAAATATTAAGTGCACTTACTCAGTAAGAGGAATTTTGTAGGAATTCTTTCCAAGTAGCAGCATTTTAAAACAGCATCATGTCGGAATTGGAGACATGACTCAGGTTCTGATCGTGCACAGACATGAAACAAAGAAAAGTGCTCTCTACCCCAAAAATTAGAAAGCATCCTTTTTTTTTATTGTGTTCAATATAAAGAAGGTTAAAAATCCTGTATTTCCTATTAGATGAAAGAA